TGGATTTTTGTAAGAATTTATGTATATTATTAAACGGGTTCATATGGTAAACCTGTCTCGGTGAGTCATTCCGCGCCCACACGACAGTATTGACCGCTCAGCTGTCGAAAACACCTCACCCCTAATCGGCTGACCTCACAATACAAAAAACTTCAATAAATTAACCTAATTCTACCATTCTGTTGTTGACCCAATATATTACTCTGCTCTAAACTGACATAATCAACGCATATTTTCAAAAAACTAAAATTCTATATCTCTAACCTGTAAGTTATCATTTTCCGACTCAGATAATAAAGAAATTATTAAATTGTTGTGCCTTACTTAAAAAACACTCAAACCACTCTTGACGTAACGTAAANATTGAGTTGATTATATTGGAGAAAAAGGAAGAATGTTAGAAAAAGGATAAAAAACATGAGACTAAACAACACCGAATCATTTTGGTTCATTCACTACAATGAAAATAACTGTAAAATTGCTTGGATACATAACCGATAAAGCCATCTAATATTGCTAAATTTAAGTATTTTTTCTTTATCTTTGTGTATATTTTGTTATACTTTCAGCCTCCTTATGTTTCATCTAAGAAATCTGTCAGTGTCGCCATTGAATCAAGTGACATTCTTTGCCGTTTCATTAATGGGAGAAATGCTTTATATATCTGTGTATGTATTGTGTTAGGTTTCTGTTTCGGGTTGTTTACTCAATTTTCGTGGTAAAACTCGTTTGAATTGTTAAAAATTGCTACTCTGGATTGAACTCCAGTTGATAAATAACACTATTTTACGAAGCAAGCTTTTGTCGGCGGTCAAGGTGACAACCTGCCGTTCTGGATGACCCGGAATCGGACGCGTCGATCCCGGGTCATCCAGAACGGACTATCCTCGAAAAATTCCTGCAGAGTTTTCGGAGGGTGGTCCATTCGGATACGTCCTATTGTGGGCCTGGCCGAACCCATAATGGATCTGAAAAAGAGGATCTGTTAGTATTCACATGGCGGAAAGAGTTAAAAGAAAACAAGCTTCAATATTTAAACTATTATGAAAAACATGTAATTATATCCTATTGTCATTTATGAATGAATGAATTAATTAATTAATTTAGTTAAAATAAGTTTTTTTTTTTAAATTTAAAAGTTATCTAAGTTATAAAAATTATTGCAGAATGCGATTCATAGACGGCGCTTTAAGTTTTTAAATATGGCGGCGCTCATCGTGTGTTCTTCAGTTTGCTTCGAATTCGAGTAAAGTTTTCTTTATTTCTTAATTTAATTTTGATGTACCGATATGTTAAACTTCAATATATACTTTCAATGAGCATAAATATATATTTTATAAGTTTAAATGCATTTTTATTCATAAACCTCATTCGACATTCACCTCAGTAAAGTTTGTGTTAATCTGACACTGTGTTCTTGAACCACGTGTTAGTGACCTGCATGTGCTTTTTCACCATTTTTTTTTTTTTGGTGTTTTTTTTTGCCTTTACTATTACTCTGGAGTAAGTTGGTACTAGTTTTGTTGTTTTCTATTCTCTGGATCAGCACAGAATGGTGTTAGTTAGATCAATGGGTTAATCTTTACTTACGTGGACTGTCATGGCCTGCTCTCCGGAATCTCAACAGCATTCATCTTTCGAAGTAAATTTGAATAATTTTATCATCTGTTTTTCGCTTTTGGCTGTCTTTCGCAATGGATGTTAGTGAGTCGACATCGCTTGATTTTTTTCGATGTTTAGATTCGCAGTTTCCAGAGTTAGATGTTGACAAGAGAATTTCATCTGATGTTAAATTTGCTATTAAGTTCAGCCTACAACCTGTTGACGCTGATTGCGACAAATGCGATGGTCAGCGGAAACTGTTATTTAGAAAAGACACTGATTTTATTTATTTTAGATGCTACAAATGTAAGACAAACAGTTCACCTCTTGAAGGAACCTTTAAAGGTAAATTCGGAAAGAATTCGTGGGCCACTATTTTTTCATTCATANCTCAATAAAGTTTGTGTTAATCTGACACTGTGTTCTTGAACCACGTGTTAGTGACCTGCATGTGCTTTTTCACCATTTTTTTGTGTTTTTTTTTTTGGCCTTTACTATTGCTCTGGAGTAAGTTGGTACTAGTTTTGTTGTTTTCTGTGCTCTGGATCAGCACAGAATGGTGTTAGTTAGATCAATGGGTTAATCTTTACTTACGTGGACTGTCATGGCCTGCTTTCCGGAATGTCAACAGCATTCATCTTTCGAAGTAAATTTGAATAATTTTATCATCTGTTTTTCGCTTTTGGCTGTCTTTCGCAATGGGTGTTAGTGAATGGACGTCGCTTGATTTTTTTCGATGCTTAGATTCGCAGTTTCCAGAGTTAGATGTTGACAAGAGAATTTCATCTGATGTTAAATTTGCTATTAAGTTCAGCCTACAACCTGTTGATGCTGATTGCAACAAATGCGATGGTCAGCGGAAACTGTTATTTAGAAAAGACACTGATTTTATTTATTTTAGATGCTACAAATGTAAGACAAACAGTTTACCTCTTGAAGGAACCTTTAAAGGTAAATTCGGAAAGAATTCGTGGGCCACTATTTTTTCATTCATATGGCATCTTATTTGCATCGAGTGCTCGTTGAGTGCCACGTGTTTGGCGGTAGGAGTGAGTTCAAGAACGGCTACTGACTGGGGAAATTTCATAAGACATGCAATGATGATTTCCTTGCACAATTTAACAAAAATTAAAATAGGAGGACCTGGTAAGATTGTTGAGGTCGATGAAATTGTTGTAAGTAAAAGGAAGAATAAAAAAGGGAGGAAATTGAAAGGAACTTGGGTTGTAGGTGGAATATGCCAAGAGGACAAATCATGTTTCCTGTGCCAAGTAAAAGATAGGTCTGAAGCAAGCCTTAATTGGGTTGTTAATACATTTGTTCATTCTGGAACCATTGTCTACACAGATGAATGGAAGGATTACACTCATATAGACGATTTACAAGGACTCGATATTCATCATGAAACAGTAAAGCATGCTGAAAATTTTGTTAATCCTGTTACGGACATCCATACTCAAAGTATTAAACAATTGTGGGGTTGTTTAAAGAACAAAAAGAACCTTCCAATTCATTATACCGACGATCTGTGTGATTCTTATTTATATGCCTTTATGTATAAAAAGCTTTTGAAATGGGAAACATTAAAACCAGGAGAACGATTCGAATTGTTTCTTCATCATTTAAGTAAGATTCATCCTGGAGCCAGTCGTGTGCCAATATGGAAGGAACCAGAAACTGTTCCCACAGCCCCAAAAGCTATCACCAAGAAGGAAAATGTAAAGAGAAAAAAAGAAGAAATGTGTGTTAAAAGCAAAGGGAAAGAATCAACTGAATTAACAAAGCAGGATGCCCCTACTGATGTCAGAGAATCTAGTTCTATGTACAAGAAGCATAATAAAATGGAGTAAAACTATATTAATCGTGAGTAAAACTTATTTTTTTGGTCTTGCTAGTATTGCACCATCATGGAGATGGTCACACGTTCTAACCTAACTTAACTATTTTAATAGATTACCAATAATTTGGTAATTTATTAGAATAGGTTAGATTAGAACGTGGGATCAAATTCTATCTAGATAGTCCCAATGGCTTCACTTCCGACTGTTCATACTTCCAATGGACCTCCCAGAGGAGAGCTGTTGGCAGGCCATGGAGTATTTAATGTCATTAGTTATTGATTCACAGTAGTTCAAAATAAAACAAAATAAAAAAAAATGGAAACATCTACTAAAAATATAGTTTTACTTTTGGATGGAGGATTATTGCATAAAAAATTTAGTTAGTGTCACCTACGTCGGATTTCTAATTGCACATGCTGTTGAGATTCCGGAAGTGCAGTCATGACAGTTCACGTATGTAAAGATTAACCAATTAATGTAGTGTTTACTTAACTGGTCTTTCTCTAATTCAGTTTTTCTGTGTAAACTGTTCATTCTTAGTTATTAAGTTAGTTTGATGTATTTAGCTTTTGCAGTTTCTGTGTTTTTGGGCTGTTTTCGGTTGTGTTGTGTTGTTGTGACAGTAGGCTGTGGTAGAGTTGTCCTTTCTGTTCTTCTATCTTTTTTCCTTCTTAAGTTAATTTCTATATTTATTAATTAGTATATTAGGTATTATTTTAGTATTTGTAAGTTTTTGTTTGTTGTTTTGAAGTGTTTGTCAATCTTGTGCTTATGGTTGGATCCAATTCCTTCTTGGGTTAAAACTATTTTCTTACCATTATGCTTTATCTTATAATTTTATTTTTTTAAGATACGTACTTGATATACGTTTCCAAAACACATAGAATCTTTTGTTGTCGATAAGTATAAAAAGTGCTATAAACAAAACAATCATAGGACAACTTACTGAGTATGCACTGTTTCATATGCTATTGCTTAAGTTCATTGACATTGCAGAGTATTGTATTGAACGGTGGACATGTAGAAAGCATGTCTGTGACCTCTCTCACTGTCACTTGTGATGTAACTATCTTAAAACATCACTTGCTTCGGTTACATGACATCTCTGATGTATTTTCTGAAAATGTTTTGGACTCCAAAGAGACTGCAAATCAGTTTGATAAACATGTATTTGTCACCTTTACGGTAATACTATAACATTATATGACAAAACCCACCAAGTTAAGATTTGATGATAATTTATTTTTTCAGGATTAAGTCCACAAGAACGAAAAAAAAAAAACAGAAGAAATATATTATCAAATTACTTCAAAATTCAGATTACCATTGCAATCTTTTTACCAATATATTAGTAAGCTTCAATATTAGTAAGCTATTTCATTGTGTATAATGAAGGTGAAAAGTATCACTGCTACAGTAAGTTTACTTTGCAACTTTTATTGGATTTTGTGTATTTTACTATCATATCTTTGTTAAAACGAAAGCACATGCAATACAAAATATTAGCTTTTGCTGAAAAAGTAGCAGTTACACATGAAGTGAAAAAGGGATTAAAAAAGAAACCTGACATTGCAATAGACTGGAATTCCACTGAATGCATTGTCCACCTATATAAAAAGTAAGAACAAATTTTGAACAATGCGATTGAATAGAGTGGAAAAGATAGGAAGAGAGTAAGAGAACCAGAAAATTCAGATGTTGATGAGTGCATGTTGAAATGATTAAACGGACATGAGACAAAGCCATTCCAATAAATAGACATCTCCTTAGAGCTAAAGCTGAAGAATTTGCTTGTGGCCTAGGAAAGAGTGATTTTAAAGCCAGCACTTGTTGGCTTTAAGGAAAGAATAGGATATTTCTTTTTTACTGTTTGTGGAGGAAGCAGTACTGTTGATGTACAAGAGGGTGATAGGTGAAAAAGTGATTTGAAAAATGATTCAAGATAGAGATGCCAAAGACATTTTTAATGCTAATGAAATTGGACTTATAATTGCATCTCAAACAAAACATTTCAAAGATGAGCATTGCTGTGGCAGCAAACATAACTAAGCTTTTCTTGTTATGTTTGCTGTAGCATAATACTTGTAGTTGGTACAAACAAGGCTCGATTGGAAAAATTTACCTTGTTTGATAATTGGGAAGTCAGTCAATCCATGATGCTTCAAAAATGTTAAAACCAAGCCAGTGGAATATCAATCAAGCATGAAAGCATGGATGATAAGTGAAATTTTTGAAACATGGCTTTTAAAAATTGAGGAAAAGTTTGGAAAACAAAACTGAGAAATCCTGTTGTTTATTGACAACTGTACTTTTTTGTGCATAAATGTTTATACCTGATTCTAAGTGTTAAGTACTGCCAGAAGTGAATCAGGTGCAGTGTTACTTCGTTCTATCTGTTACCAAAGTGCTTGAAAATATACCATTTTGTTCTTTGATGAGTTGTGCGAGGAAAATTATCAAGAGGAGCATTTTCTAGGGTTTTACACTAACAATACTAATCACTGCTTGCTACTCTAGCTGTGTATGTGTTGCATTGCATCAGCAACGAAAATAAGATAGCACACAACACCATTCCTGTGATGGAAAATGTAAATGTTATGTTTCATTCCTCAAATATGACATCAGTATCTCACTGATGGATCAAGGAGCAATTAAAATTTTAAAACACCACTGTTGTTGCCTTGTGGTCCAGAACATCCTGTCAGGCACTTAACCAACATAAATGATAAGGTCAAGATCAACCTGATACAAGCTGCTTGGTTGTGAGTTTCAAACCACAACCATAACCAACTGCTTTTAAAAAGCTGACTTCTGTCATTTAGAAGATGAAAATATAGATGATGATAAAGAGATTGTGCCTGTTGTGAGTAGGTAGATGTGGAACAAGGTATAGGCATTTCTTTTGAGGACTTTGTTAAATGAATGACAATGTGGCAGTTAGTGGAGTACTTACAGATATTGAAATTTTGGCTGATATGCTGAAAAACAAAAATTTTTCAGCATATCAGCCAAAATATATCAGCTCTTTCCATATTCAAATGATTCGCTAACAGAGTAAACATGAATTTTGCATTAAAAGTGTGCTGGAATAGAGAAAGGTGTTTTGTTTTATTTATATTTAATATTTCCAGTAAGCATTTAATTATTTGTTTTTATTTTTTTTTTCTAGCTTACTTTAACACCCTCAAAGTCACTTTGTTTTCTCCACAAGTCCCTAGACGTTATAGAATACAGATAGGCACATACGTATCTTTTGTAAACACATATACATATCCTGTCATATCTTTACCATTACTTCAAGGAAATGCACTTTGTGTTAAGAACCTTGCTTTTATTGGAGTGTCAAACTCAAAATAGCATCTAAAACTTCCATGAACTCTTCATCATCTCTTCACCTATTGCAAACACCTTACTACCAGTTGCAATATCTGCAAAAACTCATACATAATTCTCTCCTTCACCATATCAATTATTTTTGCTAACATCTGCAATTGATAAATTAACAGCAAATCTCTTCTGTTTATACAAATATTTATTATGCATAAAGAATGCATTAGGTACTATGTTGTGAATCAAGATACACACAGATTTCAGTCTCAGATTGGGAAACTGATTCCTTTCCACCAAAATGCTCACGAAATAAAAAGGCCAGTTCTTGACTCATAGATGGGTGCAAAGACTTGACAATATCAAACGTTATTCCACTTGCACATTCCTAATCTTCGTCAATGTCACTGTTGTATCTAACCACTTTCACACAAAAACTTTTCTACTTTTTTTCTACATTAAACATTGAGCAGGACTACTATTCAATTAGGGATTCCTGTTGCAATTTTATGTAACCAAACAGTCTTGGAGCATTATGTGATTTGGATACCTCTGCCATCAGAAACCTCAGAATGATGGATTTCATGTTTCTTAACTTCATTCTCAAGCTATTCAAACTAACTCTTTTATCTTATTGGCTTTCATGACATGAGACTCACTTTTCTGGTTGGAAGAAATGTATAGAGGACATGATTAGGAATTATGAGAGTTGATAAAACAAAAGTGTTAGTAGTATTTAAGAAGTTGGACTATGATAGGATATTGCAGATGCATATTGAGGAGGGAGACTTCATTTTATTATTAAAAGAAAACATGAAAATCTTGATCATAGTTAGAATGGAATTATTTGAATTACAAATAACTTGAAAATTTAAGTCATTGCAAACAAGGTAAGGAGTGCTGTGATATGTTTGAATCATACTCATGCACCAACTGCCATTTTTATATTCATATTGAATTACGATTGCTAATCCTTTCAATGAGATAACAAAGAGAAACATTATTATTTTACACTTGAATTATTTTTTATGCACTTTTATATAAAAGTCAACTTTTGTAATGATGTAATATAATTTTTCTTTCATTTCAGTTAATTATGGAGAGTGAATTTCAACAGAGTTTCAATATAAGGAATAATTTTGGTTGTAATAATGCAATAGGTAAGATGATTAAGACTTCTAATCCCTATAATATATTTTATAGCTATGTCCATGTAAGGGAAATGTTAACTTGATAACATTTGATAAAATTTGAAAATATTTTATGTATAATGCATGCNCTAATCCCTATAATATATTTTATAGCTATGTCCATGTAAGGGAAATGTTAACTTGATAACATTTGATAAAATTTGAAAATATTTTATGTATAATGCATACAGGTTTAAATGTACTTTTATGTTTTCATTATTATTTCCCCTCAATATATCAGGTAACCAAAAAAGTTCTGTCGTTTTTTGTTGAAAGAAAACGAACATAAAAATGTGTAGGGAATAACACAATTTATTAATCAAAATAACCACCCTCACATTCAATAACCTTTTCCCAACAGGAACAACAAACAACAAGCTTATAAATTCCATTTTTATAAAAGTCACGATTTTTAGAGTTGAAAAACTTCTCTAACTCTGTTTCCATAGCCCCTCTATTTTTGAACTGTCGATTTCGCAAATGATTATCTAGGCTTAAAAATAGGCGATAGTCAGAAGGGCTAATGTCAGGGGAATAAGGAGGGTGCAAAAGAGGTTCCCATCCAATTGTGTCAGAGGTCATACGCGCGACATGATGCCTATAGCATTATTGTGTAGGAAAAGAACGCCTTTATGGTTCACTAACGCTAGCTGTTTATTCAAAAGTGATTGGTGAACTCAATGCAGTTGGTTGCTGTAGACATTAGCAGTAATAGTCTGGCCAGATGGTATAAGTTCATAGTGAACAATTCCATTTGAGGTCCACCATATGCACAATATTGGCAGGTGCCAATTGATGAAGTATCCATTTACTGAGCTTGTAAACTTTCTCAAGACAATGCAAATGTAAACAGACAGTTTCATCACTTACAGAGAACCTTTGTGCTAACATTTGACAAGTTTGAGCAGAATCCTCTTCGATTGCAGCCTGTAATTCATCATCATTCTCATGGCGCATCTTTAAGCAACTCTGCTGGAAGAAAATTTTGTAAACCTTCTTTGGGTGGTGTGAGTGCTGACAGAACCTTGTCCAAAAGCCTGGCATATTTTTTGAGCCATTTGCACAGCATTTATTCCAAGTTTAAACTCATACAACATACAAGCACGAATTATAGCATTTGGAGTACTCATCTTCAAGTCAATTTTTATAATATTAAGAGATAACCTTTCCACTTCTCTTTATGTAAGGTGAGTCAGCATTAAATCTTGATTAACATATTGCTGGAATTTTAGTGTCATCTGTTGTGTATTGCGTGTAACATTCTTTATGTGTGTGTGGGGATCACTTTAAAGCTTAATAACTCCTGTGCCTTTTGTCGAGAATTTCTGAAATTTGGTAGGGATGTTTGGGTATTAAGGGCATTGATAATATTAAATTTTGGTGGTTAAAGGTCAACTGGGCGGAGAGATAGAAGGGGTCATGTGTCATATCTCGAGTGGGGTCGAACTTATAAAGATTTCACTCGTTATTAGCATTTACAATTTTTTTTAATATATAAAACTCATTTTATAACAATTAATAATATAAAAACTGTTTAATAAAATATCCTAACAGATGGCGCCATACACAATTTTAACTTTTTTTTTGCGGAAAAGTTATATAGTCCAGAAAGATCATTTTATACTGAAGTTAATTGAGTCATACACATAAAAAATTTACATATATATAAGGAGTTTTATAGATTTTACATATTCTCCAATCTGAAATTGGATATTTATGCAGAATTCTGATAGATTTATCTTTAAAAGCTAGCAGTTTAAGGCTTATTCACCCGCTTATTACTTATCAAATTTACAATATTGCAATACAGACGTTAACATTTATTAAATATTATAAACGCCATCAACTTTTCCTTATCAGCAAACATGTTGCATTATATTGCGTGTAGTAAAGTATAAAGCTAATATTTCGTGTTTTTTTCCCATTAAAAAAAGGGTGAAATATTAGTTTCAGGAATATTTATCCAACTGGAAGTACGTACATTCATTTCTTAATATTACTGCGAAAAATTAGATTTTTCCATTAAATTTTGTTGAAAAATGAAGGTAAAAGTAACTTTTACTTTCATTTTTCAACAAAAAAATGAAATGGCGATCGGTCAAAAAATGACTCCCTTCCCATATTTTTACATTTTTGGACTCAGGGAACCTTGAAACGTCGAGAATTGCAAAAAATTGGGTATTTTTTCTGTATGTATAATAGTGTGAAGGAGCACGATTTTGTTCACCCACTTTGAAGCTTAATAACTCCTTTTCCTTTTGTCAAAAATTTCTGAAATTTTGCATGGAGATTTATGTATTAGAGGGCTTTATGCGGTAAAATTTTTGTGGTTAAAGCTTTAGTGGGTCAGTAGATAGAAGTGATCGTGTGCCGTATCTAAATTTCACTCGTTACAGATTTACAATTTTTTTTATAAAACTCATCTCTAGTCTCAAATTAAAGTTTTGGCCATTATATAATAATTAATAATATAAAAAGTTTTAAAACTAAAATCTCATAACAGATGGCGTCACACGCAATTTTAACTTTCTTTTTTCCGGCAAAGTTACGCAACTTTTTGAAGTTTATTTTAAATATTTTACACGGGAAAAAACGCACGAATTTTTTGAGTTTTTGACCTTTATTTTAAGCTTTTTTTTTAAAGATTTGTTAAATACTTTCGATCCAATCTTGTTTAACCTCTGCAACTGTCAATTACTTGCTAAACCGTGTGAATCGGTATGTTATTACTGCAACGATTCTAGTGGAATTTAATAAGAAAGAAGCTTACAAACTTTTTTTATTTTTACCTTTTCCCTTAGAAATAAATATCCTTTCGAAATTAAAAAAGGAAACTAAATTGATAAATTGATATTAAGATACTTATTGTCAATTTAGTTGTCAAAATATCAAAGAAACGAAGAAGAATCGATTCAAAATTGAAAAAAAAAATCCCTTGGGATCATATTGAATTGTATAGTAAAATAAACAATACACACTATAACAAAAATATCAAATATTTAAAATATACAAGTATATATATATTCAAGGTTAAAAATTCGATATTATATATTTAAAATTATTATAAATATATAATTCGATAGAGTACAACGTTCTATAAATGTCAACTTTACGTTTTTTCCCGTGATTCTTTTCGAGAAATTTGAGGTTAAAATACTTAAAACTATAACTGGCATACAATTTTCAAATTACAGACTTATACATTCCCACACTCGTCCATTTGCCTGTCCGTCCGTCTGTCCTTCGTTAATCTCGAGAACGTAAATGGAAAGCTTGGGGAAGAGACTCCGATTAACTACGTACGAATTTCCGGTTTGAATCGGAAGTCACATGGTTTTTAAATTAAAGTATAATTTAAAAATACGATTAAATATTTGAATAAGTTTGCAATTTAGTCTTTAAATGGTTAACTGACTTTTAAGCCACCCTATGTACTGTACTAATTTTTAAAATATTTTTCATTCTTTTATATACAATTTAATTGTAATTTTTACAAATTATATGTAAAACTGTCGATAATGTAAGCAAATCTTTAGTGGAAAAAAGCAATATTTAATTTTAAAAAATAATACGGTTTATATAGTCAAACCTGTGACAACGACCACCTCTAAACGGCGAACATTTTTTTTACACGCGTTTCTTTTTGAAGTGCATACAAAATAACCTCCTGTAATGGCCACACACTCCCAACGACGGCCATTTTCTTTTTCATGTTCCCGTCAGTGTCCGTTGTTAAGATGTTTGACTGTATAAAATACATGGAAAAATACGCATAGAATATTGAAATTTTTTTTAAAAACTTTTATGCAATAAGCAAAAAGAAAAAAAAAAAGAATATTTTCAAAAAATAACTACAAAAAGTCATTTTCCACGTCGTAACGGCTTTCTTCGAGCAAAAATACTTACTAACAATACAGTAACTTTTACCTTCCATTACATTTAACTTAAGTAATGGGTTGCTCAAATAAAATAAATAAAAATAATAGTAATAATAATGTACGTTGCTCTGACCATTATTTCAAATTTAAATATTAATATTTTTCAAGTATAAGAAATAGAAAATATATAAAATTATTTTAAAATTTGTAATCATTCTATCAGTTATTTTAGAGAATATAATTAAAGATCTACTGGTAAATATATATATAGTGTGGCCCAAAACTCAGTTAACCAGTGAATTTAAATGTATTTTTCTTTAACAAAATTGATGAAAGAAAACAATTTCGGATTTAAAGGGATTAAATTAACGAATAACGGGCGGACGGACGGACGGACGGACGGATGACAGTGAGTTAATTTACGGACTGGCAATTTGAAAACTGAAGCCCAATTCGTGTATGAACAAACTTGATATAAAATTATTTTTTTTTTAAATATACGGATAACGTATCAAAATGGCGCGATCACATTCGATTTATCATCATTCAATCTTACATTTTTCCATCTTCTTCTTCCTATTCTTCAATATCAAATTGTCATATATATATGTATAATTTCCTGCGTGCACGGTAAAGAAGAATCTTTTCTTAGCTATTTACGATTGATAACATTTTGTGAAAACTGATAACATCGAGCGTACTGTATGTCTGATCTTTGAAGACATATCTAAATGGAACGTTTCCTTACGAATAGTAGAGAAGTTGAATTCTTTAAATAATAATAATAATAAGAGGATAAAAATGGTATAAAAGAGAAATTACTTCCCTAGTTTAAAGATTAATTCTTAGCTTGTAAATATATTACACGTGAATTGCGAGGAGAGGAAATTTATCAGTTAATTATCAAATGGGTGTATCTTGAAAGAGGAGGGAAAAAATAGCTGGAAACACATTTTAAGGTTTGTTGGTAATAGAACTATCGATCAAGAAACGAGTAAAGAAAAGAAAAATGTGAAGATTCTTATTTTCAAGACTTTCTATATAAAAATACGTGAGATAAAATGGATGTAATAGAGATGGATCGATAAATTTTTGATTATTATTATTATTTATTTTTTTCCCTCCCCCAATATTTTTGTAAGGCGATTTATTCTTTAAGGTTGCGTGTTAAAAAGAAAT